GCTTCTAGTTTTCCCGAATCTGCAGTATTGTGGATGCAACAGATTTTTGTCCTTCGTGGGGGCGGAAGGGGGTGGGGCGAAATTTTGAGATATACGTTTTATAGTGAGATCTAACAGAAGTGCGGATACCAAATTTGGTTACTCTAGCCTTAATAGTCTCTGAGGTTTGTGGATGCCTCAGATTTTCTTCTTTTGCGGGGGCGGAAGGGGGTGTGGCAAAATTTTGAGACAAAACGGTCAAGGTCCGATATCACAGGAGTGTGGATACCAAATTTGGTTGCTCTGGCTCTTATAGGTTCTGAGATCCTTGAACTCATATTTTGCAATTGGCAAAACCGACCATGAAACTTGTGTGTTAGAGAGAGACAGAGGGAGAAAGAATGAAATTGTTTTCTTGATTCTGGCTATAATAATTATACGATCTGGTTCAGATTTTACACTCTAGAACATATAGTCATCTTCTACGATTCTGCGTTTTTAGTTTTTTCGTATCTTTAAAATTGTGGATGCCACAGATTTTCGTCCTTTGTGGGGGCGGAAGTGGGCAGGGCAAAGTTTTGAAATATTTTTGTAGCAGTGACATATCACAGAATTTCGGATCAAAAACATCGTTGCTCTAGCTCTTATTGTCTTTGAGCACTAGGCGCTGAAGGGGACGGACAGACGGACAGACAGACAGGGCTCAATCGGCTCGGCTATGGGTGCTGATCAAGAATATATATACTGTATGGGGTCGGAAACGCTTCCTTCTGGACGTAATACTCTTTGAGTATTTCCACTTTATTCCCCCTCTTTCAAACAAAGTCGTGGAAAACTTTTTACCAAAGACTGGTGAGGCGCCCAAAATTTAAAATTTGAACAAGATTTGAATAATCTGGAAAGTTCAATAAATCTTTTGGATGGAATGAGTTCTGACTGATTTAGACCTTTTTAAAAACTTGTTTTTGTCACAAATTTATACCCGTACTTGTTAAACGATTAGCAGTTACACAAATTCATGGTAAAACACCGCATGAGAACGCATGGTGAAAATTGCAATAAAGTTTTGTACATTTTTTATCGCTTTAAAATGTTGTTTTTAGGAGTGACGCAATTTTTAAAATTTTTTTTTGGCCAGGAAAATTGTTTTTATGCCCCGTTCCTATGGCCCAGGACTTAGACAATTGAGCGTTACTCAAGCTCCATACTTGAAGCTTCCTTGAAATTCTAATTCTCACGAGGTCATAGACTATTTATTATACCCGATACTCAAAATGAGTATTGGGGTATATTAGATTTGTGGTAAAAGTGGATGTGCGTAACGACCAGAAGGAATCGTTTCCGACCCCATAAAGTATATATATTCTTGATCAGCATCAATAGCTGATCAATAGCCGAGTCAATTGAGCCCTGTCTGTCTGTCCGTCTGTCCGTCTGTCCGTCCGTCCGTCTGTCCGTCCGTCCGTCCGTCTGTCCGTCCGTCCGTCCGTCCGTCCCTATCAGCGCCTAGTGCTCAAAGACTATAAGAGCTAGAGCAACGACGTGTTATATCCGGACTTCTGTGATATGTCACTGCTACAAGTATATTTCAAAACTTTGCCCCGACCACTTCCGCCCCCACAAAGGGCGAATTCAGAGATACGAGAAAACTGAAAACCTATAATCGTAGAGGATAACTATATGTTCTAGAGTGTAAAATCTTAACCAGATCGTATAATTATTATAGTCAGAATCAAGAAAACAATTTCATTCTTTCTCGCTCTGTCTCTCTCTAACACACAGGTTTCATGGTCGGTTTTGCCAATTGCAAAATATGAGTTCAAGGATCTCAGAACCTATAAGAGCCAGAGCAACCAAATATGGTATCCACAGTCCTGTGATATCGGACCTTGACCGTTTTGTCTCAAAATTTTGCCACACCCCCTTCCGCCCCCGCAAAGGACGAAAATCTGGGACATCCACAAATCTCAGAGACTATTAACGCTAGAGTAACCAAATTTGGTATCCGCACTTCTGTTAGATCTCACTATAAAACGTATATCTCAAAATTTCGCCTCACCCCCTTTCGCCCCCACAAAGGACGAAAAACTGTTGCATCCACAATTTTAAAGATACAAGAAAACTAAAAACGCAGAATCATAGATAATGATCATATCTATCAGATTGCTGAATGTGGATCAGATCAGAACATTTTTATAGCCAGAAGGAACAAATCAATTTGCAGTGGCTACGCAGCGCCCGACGTCACGCTCAGACTGATTTTCTGTCTCTCTCGCACGCACTCTTTGTCGTGTCGTTTAATATTAGCGCCGTCTGCCGGAGGAGAGCCATACTGACTTAGTATCGGGTATAACTGTAGAAATGCGGTGTCCGCAGCAACTCACAACGTTCCCCCTCGTTTTTTTTATGTTTTGAAATAGTTACTCAGATGCTAAGGTCTTTGCTGTACGTTCGTGCAGAGTTAATCCATTTCGCAACGTATTCTGTGGAAATGCCTAATTGCAGTGTTCCTAGGTTTTTTTATTTTTTTGTCAGCTCCCATTCTCATATTCATACAAGTTGCCCTTTATGGCTGGCCGCCTATTCAATATTTTAACTAATTTACTTAGGCCAAGTTTGATCGAGTTTGTCTCGCCCAATTTTCGCTCTCTCTTTTAGTAAGCAATTAAAACGATAAAGTTCGATAAAGGGGAGGGTGTTACGAAAGTAACGTTAAGTTAAGTTCTGTAGCCGCTCTCAGTTCCAAAGTTTCTCTGGCTTCCCCTGCTTCTTCAAACAAAAATAGCATTGGAACTCGTGGGAGAAAAATATACCATTGCTTTTCTCCTGCCTACCCTTCCGAATACATAATATATAATTCACTATTAGAAATATGTCTATATGAATCGGAAATCGCAAAATGCCCCCGGACAGCGATACCATACCAGCCATGACCTACACTGAGAACAAGACTGAGGACTGCGGCGTCTTAAAGTATGCTCAATTTTCTTTTCTTTCAATTTCCGATCCTGACAGATACAGACATGGACATGGACATTGACTTGGACACGGAAATGGACACAGACAGACACCTTAAGCAGTTAGTACAAACAACTGCAGGGATGCTGGGACATGGATGGGGCAAGAATGTGGACGTGGTGAAAGGACAGGACAGGTCAGGGCGATGGTGAGTCTGGGGACCCTGCTAGTTAGCAGTTGCATCACCGACAACCTGGCCTGCTATCCTCCAAGCCCATCCCCGTCTTCCATTCCTCGGTGTGCATGATGCTTCCCAGCAACTTTTGACCTTTTTTGATGCGATTGCTTCGTCCGGTCCGGTCCGGAGCTGATTCTAGGGCTTTCGTTCAGTAAATGCCGACCAAATTTATTCCAGATTTATTTTCTGGCGATGCGGAAGCAATTTTCGCTCCACTTAATTAGTCTAATACGCAATAGAGGCTAGTGCCACAGCCTTATATTTTTATAGGCATATCTTCTAAAACAGTTTTTCTAAAGTTTTCAGCACCTCTGACGGTTTTTCCTGTTTTGGAATAGAAAATAGAAAATGGAAAAGGAAATGAATATTTGGGTATATTAGATTTGTGGTGAAAATGAATGTGTGTAACGTCCACAAGGAAGCGTTTTCGACCCCATAAAGTATATATTCTTGATCAGCATCAATAGACGAGTCGATTGATCCATGTCTGTCCGTTTCTAGAGCAACGACATTTTGTATCCAGACTTCTGTAATATGTCACTGTTACAAGTGTATTTCAAAACATCGTCCCGCCTCCTTCCGCCTCCACAAAGGGCGAAAATCTGTGGCATCCACAATTTTAAATATACGAGAAAACAAAAAACGCAGAATCGTAGAAAATAACCATTTCTTATAGACTGCAGCTTTGTGACAGCTTCGTGTTCTTGCCTCTGTTTATAGTCGTGTCTATGTAGAGCTATGGAGCTATAGTTGAACTAAAACTGAGAGCTGGGAGTTTCGTCAAAAGTTCCGGTCTCTGTGACTTTTCTTTGCTGCCGACAGGGCCACCAAATTAGTCTGCAATTCGTAAAACGGCAAACCGAAGTCTTGGGGTCTAAGTATGTCTGGGACCTTTTATGTGGCAATAAATTATGATTGCTGCCACCCACGTGGGGGAATTGAGAGAAGTAGCTGTAGGCCTTCGTTATGTGAATCTCTGTCTTCGCCCTTCATCGGCAATCCACAGTCAATTAAAGTCTCACGCAATTTGCTTGTCAGGTGGCAACAAGAAATTAAAAAAGTTTTCTTCCCCTCCTTCACGGAAGCAGGTGCTGGAGACGGGAAGTAAAAAAGAAAAAAAATTGCCTGGGAAATTATTAAAATTTTAATTACGCATGTACATATATAGAGGGAAATTCTAGAGAGTATCGCTGCCATTGTCGTCCTCTCTGTCGTCGGGCCACCATAAAAGGTAGAAAAAATACGACGTCCCCGCTCAAGACTAATGCCAAATTCTTTCAAGGATTCTTCACGACTCGCTTCTTTCCACCCGATCTGAGATGTGGTTGAGTTGATGGATAGACTCCCTCCGCTCAGGATGGGAGCTCTGTATGGTTCTTTAGTCCATTGTGCCTAGTACCTGGGCTGCTAGTGCTATTTTGTTGTCGTTGTAGTTCTTCTTTGCCTTGATTTCGGTGATGTGGGATGGGTGGTTGCACGGGTGGCTGCATGGATGGTTGTGCAACTATGGAAGGGTCCATACAAAACCCGCCGTCGCGAAGGCATGTGGACGACAAGTGGACGCGTCGACGTGCTTAAATATCAAAGTACCTTTGGCTATTTATCAAGGGTATGAGGCTTGAGGACCACAGGGCGAGGGTAACTCTGACCGTGGCAAGTGGTGATGCTGCTGGTGCAGCACACAGTCTCTGTGTGGCTGTGTAGCTGCAGCATGATAAATGACGTCTTGCCTTGAAAATGTACAGCAGTGCCTCGTTTGGGCTACTGACGATGGCGATGATGGGAATGATGGAGATTTTTAATCTGGTGCCACTTGTATTTGCAGATCGAGCTGAGGTCAAATCAGGATAAGACACGTGTTTCCCATCACCTGCCAACGCTACTACCGCCACCGCGAGCTTGACACCAAGGCTGACATAGGAGCATACCCAGAGGGCAGCAGGCCAAGAGAAGATAACCAGCTGGAGGAAACTGTAAGATGGGCAAGAAAAACTCGAAATTGAAGCAGGACACCATCGATCGCTTGACAACGGACACATACTGTGAGTATCATTATTCCCTTACATTCAGTAAATCATTTCTGGGTGCGTTCCCAGCCTTGAACTCTGTCCATGAGCTGCGAGCCGGTTCCAGGACATAGTCTTATATATTCGGCCGCACTTGAGAGCCTTTTTGGCAGCTTTTAACCTAAGCGAAATATAACCTTCCGAGCAGCTCTTACTCTTTCGTTCTCGCTCGCACCTGTAACTGTAAGTTGCCTGAGTCTTAGTCCCTCCCTAAGTGCCAACTCCTCTGAACTCTCGCATATCAGAGAAAAGCTTTCGCAGTCCTCAGGAATTCCCAAAGAGTAAAGGATTGTCCTTCTCGTCATCGCTGACCATTTATTATCTCAACAATTGGTGAGATGACCTTGGGGAGTGGCGTACTCTTTGGGGGCACTAAGCAGCCGTTTGTGGGGGCAGAGAGGCTTTTCCCATTACTGAAAAAGGGAATTCCCAGACCCAGACCTAGCTTGCTTACATTTTATATGCGAATAATCTGTCATACCTGATGTTTTACAAGGAGAATATAATATACGTTTAATTCACGTTCTTGTACAACGGAAACCCTGGTTGGTTTCTATTTGTTAACCATTCTTGATGCCACTGTAATCTGTATGTATAATAAGCGGGAACGTCATACCCGGCACTTAGTCAGTATATATTTAAGCTTGTGTCCGTCTTGTCTGACGTCTTGTTCTCAGAGACTACAAGAGCTAGAGTAACAAAAGTTTTGCATCCAGACTTCTGTGATATTAAACTGAATCAAGTTTTTTTTCAATAATTTCGCAACGCCCCCACAAAGGACGAAAATCTGTGGCATCCACAATTTTGAAGATGCAAGAAACCAAAAAATCATAGAATCATAGAGAATTACCAATTCTACCAGATTGCCGGATGTGGATCAGATCGGATAGTTATTACAGTCTCTCTCACACACTCTTCATCGTACAATGTGTACGCCCTCTGGCGGAGAAGAGCCAGACTGACTGAGTGTCAGGTATAACCGTAGAGTCACGGTTGTAGCTCAACGTTGCGACTCACAACGTTTCACTCGTTCCAAATATTATTGGGTTATTAAGTCTGCTAAAAATTATTTTGCACTCTGTATAGTGATGTTGGGTCTTATAGCGCTTCCACTTGTCATACGCTTTAATTCAAGCAATATTTTACCCCGGATGTCATGGCTAAGCCACGTAAGTTGCTTTGGCTTGAACCGATGTCTAGGATGTCAAGTTGGTCCCGTACTCTATGCAATGAATATATTATTGTTAAATTTAGTCTATGAAATTCTTCAGCCAGCATCATCATCATCAATAAATTTAGTCTATGAAATTCTTCAGCCAGCATCATCATCAATGTTTTCAAAGTCTCTGTAGCTTATTAACGAAGTATCATCTAGCCGTTATATATCACTCACTCGGTCAGGAGGCGCACACTGACGAGGATGAGGATAGAGCGTGCGCTAGGCACGCGCACGACGCAGTGCGCAGCCACGGGAAAATATTAATTCCTTATTCTGGGTATAATAATCATTCGATCTAAGATACCCTTATACTGTTTGAGTACCGGCCATAACGGCCATCAGACGTTGAAGTGTGTGCAACATTTTATTAGTTTTAGCATGGTCCCTCCATTCCTACCCTAATTCCCGTTCACTTGTCCTTACCTGTGAACCACTTTGGCAGGCAGCATGCATGATTTTCATTTTTGTTTTACGCTTTTGAAAACAGCTGTAGAGTTGAAAGTGGGGCGGTGTAGCTGTAACCCAAGTGTGTCATGTGGGGGTTGGTGGGCCAATCGCTTATAAAACTAAAATGAACGACCCCTGCCGAGGGATACCATATTAACATTTCTTGGCAATTAACACGCTTTTGCAGTGTCATATTGCAATTTTGAGCCGCATTCACTTGGCTCAGCGACATGCATTCCACTATGCAATCAGAAAGCTGAGTGGGAGTGAGAGAGGGTTAGAAAAAAGATTCTTAAATGCTTGGATGCTACCCCCACTGTTACTCCCATTCCCATACAGTATAATACGCATTGGCATCCTATCAGGGGCTAGCACTCAAAATTCACTCGAATGTTGAAATTATTATTGCACTTATTATGTTCCTTACGCCCCTTTTGGACCCTCTGCCATATGCGAGCTTGCACTTATCTTGTCTTAGCATTTTGTCTCTCATTTAATAGTGGAAATCGAATATTTAAATGCAACAAGAAAAGGTGAGGCATCGCCAGGAACCAGCACGACCAAGTATTGATGAAGGGGAGTGACTGAGAGGGAATAGGGTGAATACGGTAGAATGGAGACCAATCAGACTAATCAGACACTGTAAGATTCATCGATACTTTGACAGCTACGTACATAAATGACACAGTTATCCGATTTGGCTTCGAGTTACATACATATGTCTTCAAGTATATGGTTATATTGATTCGATAGTGCCCATACCATCTGTGATGACTCTTTCTTCTATTACTAACAGAACGCATTGCTATGGGGATTAATGGAGGAAGCTGAGGTTGCAATTAACATTATTTTGAGACGCACTCCTGTAGCCAGGTTTATGTTTCAGTTGAGTGCCAGGCCTTAAAGACAGGCGAACCCACCTGTGCTTCGAGTTAAGTCAAACAGGTGGACTGGTCTGCGCTCTCCCCCATGTGTCTACGTGGCCCTCATGCAGTTCGCAGCTCATTTTAAGTTCGCGGTGGCTCTTTTTCCAGGGTCCCATTCATTAATTAGCATTTGGGCACAGCCACACCAAGCGGCAGGCTTTTGCTTTGCTACACATTTTTTCTTGTGTCCCCCCGCTGTGCATGCATGTGTGTAAAAGATGATATTAAATCTGTTTAAAATGAAATTCAATTAATAAAAACAAAAAATACAGCATTTTTGCCTCTTTTTTGTGGCGCCGCCCTCTAATTCTGTCTAGGACTTCCCACTTAGGTAGCACAAAAGAAAATGAAACGAGGGGGAACGTTGTGAGTTGCTGCGGACACCGCAACTCTACGGTTATACCCGATACTAAGTCAGTATGGCTCTCCTCCGGCAGACGCCGCTAATATTTAACGACACGACAAAGAGTGCGTGCGAGAGAGACAGAAAATCAGTCTGAGCGTGACGTCGGGCGCTGCGTAGCCACTGCAAATTGATTTGTTCCTTTTGGCTATAAAAATGATCTGATCTGATCCAGATTCAGCAATCTGATAGATATGGTCATTATCTATGATTCTGCGTTTTTAGTTTTCTCAAATCTGCAATATTGTGGATGCAACAGATTTTCGTTCTTTGTGGGGGCGGATGGGGGTGGGGCGAAATTCTGAGCTATACGTTTTATAGTGACATCTTAAAGGAGTGTGTGTACCAAATTTGGTTACTCTAGCCTTAATAGTCTCTGAGATTTGTGGTTGCCTCAGATTTTCGTCCTTTGCGGGGGCGGAAGGGGGTGTGGCGAAATTTGGACAGGAAACGGTCAAGGTCCGATATCACAGGAGTGTGGATACCAAATTTGGTTGCTCTGGCTTTTATAGGTTCTGAGATCCTTGAACTCATATTTTGCAATTGGCAAAACCGACCATGAAACCTGTGTGTTAGAGTGAGACAGAGCGAGAAAAAGTGAAATTGTTTTCGTGATTCTGGCTGTAATAATTATACGATCTGGTTCAGATTTTGCACTCTAGAAGATATAGTCATCTTCTACGATTCTGCGTTTTTAGTTTTCTCGTATCGTCGAAATTGTGGATGCCACAGATTTTCGCCCTTTGTGGGGGCGGAAGTGGGCTAGGCAAAGTTTTGAAATATTTTTGGAGCAGTGACATATCACAGAAGTCTGGATCCAAAACATCGTTGCTCTAGCTCTTATAGTCTTTGAGCATTGGGCGCTGAAGGGGACGGACAGACGGACAGACGGACGGACGGACAGACAGACAGGGCTCAATCGACTCGGCTATTGATGCTGATCAAGAATATATATACTTTATAGGGTCGGAAACGATTCCTTCTGGACGTTACACACATCCACTTTTACCACAAATCTAATATACCCCAATACTCATTTTGAGTATCGGGTATAATAAACGATGCGGGCCACAAACGACTTTTGGTGTAGGGCGAGAGCTGGGATGGGAGAAAAGGGTTCCGGGAACTGAAAGGCAAGAGAGTGCAGAAATGCTGCTTTGAAGAAATGAACAATTAGATCGATTTAATCATACCCTTGCAAAAGGATATTTTGGGATTGAGTAGACACTTGGGATTGAAAAGAAAGCATATTTGTTCGTCATGAATGTAATATTTATTATGGCCATGAAATATCATTATGCATCACATACATACATATATGTTAAATTCATAGGGATCGATGCATCGGAAACAATATCAAAAGCTTCGGCACGGAGAATAGCCTTACTTTCTTGAGTCTGCTGGAGCCACACTGCAAGGAGCGAAATGAAGAAATGGAGCGAGAGATGGAGGAGCACCGGCCCGAGCCTGGGCCTGGGCGGGGGGGACTTTCTGGCTATGAACTTATGTATTTGCTTTACAGCTGCCAGTGGTATACAAATATACTCATACTCGTACAGTAAAGGCAGTGAAGCGGGTGAAGGGGTGCTGCGGCAGGAAAGGACCCAACTACACATGTATGTATTATTCATCTAGCCGCATTAAAAGTCGTTGTCGGGCCCACATCGACAGCCACTGACGAGCGGCAGGATAACGGTCCTTTGAGCTTACTTAGCCCTGGAACGCGTTGGTGTGCGCAGACTTTTAAAAAGGTTTCGTGGTGCGATGTCATAGGGTGTGTGTGTGTGGGGGGGGCGTTCGTGGGTATTACTGGTTATGTCTGTTTATTCAGATACAGTCTGCGTTTTGGCTGGGACCGGGCTACTTTCAATTGCGTGCCAGAAAACACACTGCGAGAATTGATTGGAGATGCAGAAATTAAGCATGTAGAAAAGCTTAACAAACGACTCGATCGACTCGAATGTCAAAGAACCAGTTTTCTCAGTGTAAACTAACACCCTGAGCAGGGGTTAACGTGTTTCACTTCCAGGAGTAGATCATTAAGAACGTCTTTTTCTCTTTTTCACTTTCAAAGTGCTTTTTACTGTGCCTTTTTAACTGTCTCACATCTAAACTAGGAGAGTGCCGCACGCGCTTCAAAGTAGACGATAATTCTGGTTAAATGCCTCGCATGCAGGCGAAACGAGAGCGGAACCGTAATATAAAAATGGAAAATATAATTATAGCACTTCTTTGTTGCTGGACTATACATTACTCATATACAGTACACAGGTACTAACAACAGCAAAATCGGAAATGGTGGGCGGATGTGTCCTGGAGAGGTGTCCACTAAGCCTCTCAAGTGAGCACAGTCAATATCCAAGGCTGAGACCTTAAATAAGCTGCCATAACTCAGCCGCTCAGCCACGACACTTGGCCCCAGCAGAGGGCCAATTGAGAGAGCTGGAGTTGATATTAAGAATAATAACATGGGGAGACCCTTGCGGCGCAACCCCATGCGAAACTCAGTTGAATCTCAGAAATCACACAACTAATCTTGAATTTCTCTTTATTTTACAGTCACCGAAAAGGAAATTCGTCAATGGTAAGCTATAGGAAAGCAACAAATTTTAAGAGTTGAAATTTCTCCTATACCTACTATCATTCCATTTCGCCTTTTTTTATTATTATTTTTTTTTTAATCTTCACTGATTGCACTTCCAATTCAATATTGGCTTACAATTTTTAAATTTTCAAATTTGGTTGTATCTTTGTTTTGCTTCAATTAGACGATATTTTATTTACTTAATTTGAAAACGAACGAAAAATTATGTAAATTTCAAATGGAAAAGCATTTCAGACTTAAATACTTTATCTGCGCGAAATTTTACGCTTTTCGTTTGTTAAAATTTCTCGGTCAATTGCTTTGTGTTCAAAAATGATTTGTTTTTAATTTAATTTAATTTTATTTTTTCGGTTCATTTCCATTTTTTTCTTTCTCCCTCTGTCGCTCTCTCTTACGGTAATTTATTTTTTTTTCTCCTTCTGGTGCCTGGTTCTGCTTTTTTTTCCCGCTGTCTCTCCCTGTAACCTCTGTGGGCTATGCTATCCGCTATCATGATCTATGACACCAACGAAAGGCACAAAGGTTTTTTGAAAGACTGTCCGAACGGTTTGCTGACCGAACAAGTGAGTATCCTACCGTTTAACCATCCCTACATCATAGCTCATAGTTATCATCCTCATCACCATCGTTGCCGCGCGTCCCACAGCCATCATCATCCTCGCATACCGAACCACAAACATCATTCTATTACTGGAGCAGTTCTTCATTCGATCCACCTCATATATATGTACTTAATATAATTTAATATTATCGATGTTTTATTGAGTCTGCTTATTTACAAGTAAGATATATGAATGGGTTTGCAATTTAAAAATAGACAAACAGACAACTTCTTCAACTTTACTTGCTGGTGATGGTCTATCGGAGCTTCTGGTTGGCCATGGTCCATTGGTGGATTCGTTGTCTTCACGTCTAACCTTGCCTGTGCTGCTCTCAACACTGGTTCTTGGACGTGTGTTTCCTCTAATATTTCGGCTAGTATGGACTTCACCGATCTGATAATCTTTATTTCGCTGCGAAACCTTGTAGAATTGTCCTGAATTGAGTTTGCTCTTTAACCTCCTTTGGACCTGAGTGTGCTTTTCGATATGATTATTCCTACCGTATCTAATGATAAACTCTCTTTTACAAGAGCGTCCAGCATGTGGATGGTTATTACATTCACATACGAATGAGATCTTAGGATTGAGTCGTTCAGCGTCTGCTTCGGCAGATCCAGGTCTTTTACTGTTCTCACGTTTTGAAGCGTGAATTGCGCGCCATATTGTCCCTTGGAGAGATCGATAAAATTATCCATTTGTATTGAGGTGCCATCAATACCTAGTTTTTCCGTTATCTCCGTATCGACCAGGGTACAGGCGGATCCTTCGTCTATCAGTACGAACACTTTTGGCCGTTCGGTCTATGCAATGTTGAAGGGACATGTCTAAACAACGTGGCTTCGTGTGATAATTAAGAGAGACAGATGTAGCGAAATAAAAAACAGCAGAGGAAAAATTTAAACTTATAAAATATATATTCTCAAATAATTCACGAATTTAAAATTAAACCTAACCAGCGGTCATAGTTCCTCTTTCTCTCTATGTTTTTCATCTCTCATGACAGGTTCGACCAGAATTTAAAGAGTTCGCGGAGAGATATCCCCTCACCGCATTAACGAGCAAGTCAATTCGTCCCTTTTGTGAAAAGTGATACTAAAATACAGAGAGAGAGAGAGCATGCGGCAGTATATCGGGCCCGAAACCAATTCCGACTCATATATATAACGAGGAGAAACGTTGTGAGTTGCTGCTTCGACCGCAACTCTACACTTATACACGATACATCGTCAGTATGGCTACATTGAGCGGCAGAGTGCAATGCGTGCGGGAGAGACAGAAAACGTGTCTGACCGTGTTGTCGGGCGCTGAATAGCCACTGCAAGTTGATTTGTTTCTGTTGGTTATAAAAATTATCCAATCTGATCCAGATACGGCGATCTGGTAGATATGGTCATTTGTTAAATTTCCTTTCCTGCGATTATTTTCCCATTTTTCCGATATTTACGAACTTAAACCGCAAAACTACACAAACAAGCAAAACGAACTAAAACTATATGAAAATTTGCTGTTTTTACACGCAGAATTTTCAAGCATCATTCGATTGTCAATTTTGCTATCTCGCTTGAGAAAAATTGAGCTATGGACGAAAAAGCTATGACTCAACTATAATATCTAGCTAACTTTGATAATCTGTGCAGCATTGGAGTGTATGTATACATATACACGTATACACACGTATGTATATGCCATGCAGCCGCTGCATCGTTTACAACCAGCATAGGCGCTTTCGCTCATTCCTTTTTACCTTTTATTACAAGATTGAGTGGGAAAGGGACAAAATTTCGCGACCTATCTGAAATTTTTGCTTCTGCGACACACTCCCATTGCCAGACAACTCCTGACCAAACGTCACCAAAAACTGTAAGACACTTTATTGGACCATCTGAAGCATGTCACCACTTCACCGCACACCTGCGCGACACCCGTGTAAAAGTTTACTATTTTCCGGTCTTTCACTGTCCGGTATTTTGTCAGTGCGCTAACAGAATTACCACAACGAGTCAGCATCTGAACATACATTTCAGTTTGCATCGCCTACATGGTACAAGTCCATTCTCAGGAGCACTCGCTCTTCCATTCCGTCATTCAGTTATCCACCAGTCACCCACACACCCATCATTCATTTCTTAGCTAAAGAACTTTAGAAATGTTTTCTATAGTGCTATTTTATGTGTGTTACCGAACCCACTCGACTGCAGTTGTCTATGGGGCCAGCAGCAAATATGTATTTACCTTATCTAACACGTACTACCATTTATCTGTCTCTCTCTCTTCTGTATCTGTTGTTATTTTCCTTAGGGCTTCATCAAAATCTATAAGCAGTTTTTCCCCGATGGTGACCCCAGTAAATTTGCTTCTTTGGTATTTCGTGTATTCGATGAGAATAACGTAAGTATTGAGCTTAGGACTGCCGAGATATACACTTAAAATATCTTAAACGTGCACCAATGGTCGTGTATTCTACTGTTTTTCTTTTGTCTATGTATATATGTCCTATAAAATTTTTATTGTTTAAGCTAGACTGATCCATCGAAGTTAAACTTATAGCTCCAAACTATAAAGACCTTTTTGTGGACCAAAAGCTTTGCACTCATCTCAGCGTTCAGCAACAATCTGTAGCCGTATCCAGAGCCATTTAATTATATTTTGTGCTTGTATTTGTATCTGCAGGATGGGGCCATCGAGTTTGAGGAGTTCATACGGGCCTTGTCCATAACATCACGCGGAAATTTAGATGAGAAGCTGCATTGTAAGTACATTTGATTGCATTCAAACCCCATTTAGTCTGCCATAATGATAATGAACTCCCTTTTCAGGGGCCTTCCGTCTCTATGATGTTGACAACGATGGTTACATAACGCGCGAGGAGATGTACAATATTGTGGATGCCATCTACCAGATGGTCGTAAGTTTTTTCGCTTGCACTCTCCTCTCCGATAAGTGAATCCACATTAATCACTTGATTTCAGGGCCAGCAGCCGCAGACGGAGGACGAGAATACGCCACAGAAGCGGGTGGACAAGATCTTCGATCAGATGGACAAGAACCATGACGACCGCCTTACTCTCGAAGAGTTCCGAGAGGGAAGTAAAGCTGATCCACGTATAGTCCAGGCGTTAAGTTTAGGTGGTGATTAACCGCAAGAAATTTAGTTGCCTTGAGATTTTTTGGGGTGGTCCAGAGTAGGAGTGGAAGCTGAGGCGGAATCGCAGTGGGGAGCAGTGGAAGGAGCTGATTCCAAGGATCAATGATTTGAGGCAACGAACCCCACGCAATCCCTCAGATCCACAGCAAAAACTACAGCAATGTGTTTGGACCTTGATTGGAGTCGATTGAGAATACTCACACACCCTCATATTTTTTACCAATTTTCCTTCTCCCCTCGCACACACGCACACACATAAACCCGCCCACCCACACAGTCACTCAAGAAAGATCCAGAAGAAATATTAAAAAATCTCGACTTTCAACTTATAGAATATGAATATTAATTAACATGAGAAAGGATATATGTATATGTATAGTATGGATAAATATTGCAGTCATCAAAAACCAGAAACTGTTAAGAAAAAACAAAATTTTAAAATTTACCAAGGAAAAAACTAGAAACAAAAGAACACCAATTTATGTCAAATGAAACGCTATTTAAAAAAATAATTCATATTAAATACATATACAAACGTAAAAATAAATAGGGGTTGAGAGCGAGTTCACCCTTCTATAGATAAATATTTGTGTATAAAAATATGCTCTTAATCTTATCCAAGTCATTTTTATTGAAATGCTTGCCAAAAAAATTCGAATAACAAAGAAAAATTCTTCAAATTGATTTAGTAATATATCGCATAAGTATCGAAAACCAACCGATGGCTATCTAATCGTTAAGATGGATCGTTATTTGAAAATAATTATAAATCAAAGCGAGAGAGAGAGAGAGAACTCTTTTGACGACAGCTATTTCTGATTTACATGCAATCAATACACGCTTCTCAATATATTTAGTATATGCTTATACATAGTTTTAAAAATACAAATACATACATATTCATATACTCGAATATATGTAACTCATATGCTACTGGCCTAGACGCAATGCATATACTCTAATATATGTATCTCACATGCTACTGGTCTAGACGCTTGCTCTTTCTCTTGCTCCAGTTTCTTATCCATTATTATTTTTGTTGTGTTTTCCGCATTTTTGTGGCGCAAGAGCTCAGCATAGCTAGCTACTAACTGTTGATAATCGAAAGTGTTGATAATCAAAAATAAATACCCACACGCATACCTAATTACTCTCTTTTTAACCAAGTACACTAGCTATATTAAGATCTAGATCATATACATATAAAAGATATATGAATAGTCGTACTTTTGCTTCTGCATGCGGTATGCCATGTCTTAAGTGGGTGTGGTTCTGCGTCTGCTCACCATTCCAGCTTCATCCAGCTTCCTTTCCACCATTGCATCTCATATATGATCATTACTAGGTCAGCCACAGCCCCCCACCCCATACCAGGGTAGAAACAAACATTTTAACAAGAGTAGTTTTCCATACGTATTCCCGCATGCCTAAACAGATAAACAATAATAAACAAGAATATCAGTTTGAACTTTGAACAGAGAGCTTGCAATATCCTGCATCCTATAAAGTGGCAAGCCTAACTAATGGCTTACTTACTAAACTATCGTCTGAATCATCGACACTCTAACTGTGTCTTTTTATATATCGCTCCTTTTTTTTATTTTTGGTCATTATTCAATCTACTGTTGGAGTTAATTTTGCTTCCCCTTCTGCCGTAAGATGGGGCCCCTAATCGCCATGCTAAAATAATTTATATTTTATATGTGGTTCAGCTCTAGATCGTAATAAAAACCACAAATGTAAAAAAAATGTACTTTGATTAATACTGCAACTTGCCCTAAATTTATTAAAGTCTTATTATTTCCCTCCTAAAATTTTCTATCTAACTATCGTATCATCAGCATTTATCTATGTAATACTATTGGCTTGTAGGAATCTTATTAAATTGGATAAAAACTTCAGATTTTTTTGTGGAAATACCATGACTTTTCTTTGCCAACGAGGTTTAAAATTTGAACAGTCACTAGATAATGTCATCGCATCTCTAATTCCGAATCTGATTCTGATGTTTGTTAGTCTACCAGAATACTTTTGGTTTGCCTGAACCACAGAACATATGCACCTAGAGTAGTTGTTGTACATAAATATGTATATCAAGATGAAAGCCAATTTAGATTACTTAATACGAGTTTATGGAAAGATATATTTATAAATATGTATATCAATATTAACACACATGCAAACAATCAAATATTTATATTTATATACACACAAACATATATACATGTATATTAGGGCTGCGCCTCTTTACAAAAGTGTAATATTCAAAGGTTTCAGGGTCTAATAAGGTTTCTTTTCGTATAAAACAATAAATTAAACATTTTTAGTCTGATATTCGATAACATCTTGATGTGCCGACTTGAGATCAAAGTTTAAAAATAAAATATTTGGCCGATAGCTATGGCAGCTATACTATTTATCGCTCTGATCGGATTGCATTTTTTTTTGTGATTTAAAATTTTAAAATTAAATTATTATTAAATTTAAAAATTTTCAATGAATATTGACTAGCATATTCTTTTGTGACGTTTAGTAACATCTGTAACTCATCTTCTTTTTATACCCGATACTCAAAATGAGTATGGGGTACATACATATATTAGACTTGTGGTGAAAATGAATGTGTGTAACGTCCAGAAAGAAGCGATTATGACCCCATGAAGTATATATGTATATTCGTGATCAGCATCAATAGCCGAGTCGATTGAGCCATGTCTGTTTGTCCTTTTGTCAGTCCCTATGAGCGCCCAGTGCTCAAAGACTATAAGAGCTAGAGCAACGACATTTTGTATCGAGACTTTTGCAAAATGTCACTGTTGCAAGTGTATTTCAAAACATCGCCCCGCCTCCTTCCGCCCCCACAAAAGACGAAAATCTATGGCATCCACAATTTCAAAGATACAAGAAAACCAAAAACGCAAAATAGTATAGAATGACTTTAATTTATTATTGTTATACCCATAATGAGAGAACAATTTCATTCTTTCTCGCTGTCTCTTGGCTTTGCCAATTGCTAAAAGTGAGCGCCTAGATCTCAGAGACCATAAGAGCTAGAGCAAGCAAATTTGGTATTCACACTCCTGTGATATCGAACCAGCACACGTGTATTTCAAAATTTCGCCCCACCCCTCTCCGCCCCCGCAAAGGACGAAAATCTGTATCATCCACAAATCGCAAAGACTATTAGAGCTAGAGCAGCCAAAATTTGTATCTCACTGTTACAAGTGTATTTCAAAACTTCGCCCCACCCCCTGTGGCATCCACAATATTTAAGATACGAGAAGACTAAAAGCGCACAATCAGAAAGAATGACCATATCTACCAGATTGCCGAATCTGGATCAAGTCGGATTATTTTTATAGCCAAGAGGAACAAACCAATATGCAGTAGCTACTCAGCGCCCGACGACACGGTCAGACACGTTTTCTGTTTCTCCCGCTTGCACTCTTTGTCGCTCAATGCAGACATACTGACTATGTATTGCGTATAAATGTAGAGTTGCGGGCGCAGAAGCAACTCACAACGTTCCTCCTCGTTTGGTTAGTATTTGGTTATAGCCTTGCATAAGTTTAACAGCACTTTTAAGTGTTTCAATATTTTTTAAATCCTCCTTCCAATGCCATTCTGAATGATCTTCAGCTAACAATAAACAAACCTTTCAAAATATTAAACCGATCAAAAAATTTAACAAAATTAGGTGTCACAAAATCCGATAGAGTCTTTGTTTTTCTTTTAAAATTAGGAGTTTTGCCGAAGTTTCGACACCATCATCGTCAACACAAATTGTCAGCAATTTGCTTTATAATTTCTCGTTTTTCCATGAATTTAACTTTATCGCCAAACAATGCAAGTGCGATATTTTCATCAGATAAATACCACAAATGGATGCAGGTCTTTTTTAAAACGACGTTTGCCATTTTCCGACTAAATCCTTTTAGTTTTACATTTCGCATATAAATTGAAATTCCAGTTTTGGAGCTTGAACAGCTTATGTTGACTGAAAACAAAAATGTATATGAAAACTCACTAAAAAGAGATATGTCGCGCTAATATTTTCCTTCTCGAGTTATCAACTCAAGCTCCCCTCTAAAAATATTTATTTTAAAGGTATAAATCGCCTTAGACATCCAACGTGCGTGGTGCATTGGTCCAGGTATTCGGAAATAATGACCTTTCTCAGCCGATCCCAAACAAATTTGAGATAACTCTTGATTTTTTCATTTATTCCCATTTCGAAAGTATTTTGGATAGACGAGGGTGGCAATACTAATTATACTAATAGTAATACTCTACACGTGTAGTCTCAAAAGCTGGATATTACTTATTTATTGTTGGCTTAAATATTAACAAACCGAGCTGAAATTTTGCGAGCTTGATTATATTTTAATATCCTAAATCACACAAAAAATGCAATCCCATCAGAGCGATATATAGTATAGCTGCCATAGGAACCATTAGCCAACTATGATATTTCTCCACTTTGACCTCAAGTCGGCACCTCTAAATGTTGTCGAATCGGGCTCTTTATATTTTATAGTTTTCTGCCATAAGGACAATTTTTTGGCTCTAAAACCTTTGATTTTGATACATTTATAATTTTTTTTTCGCCCATACAAATAAGCGCAACACTGATATATATGTATTTACATATATAAATAGGTAATTTGGATCACTTATTTGTATTTGACTTGTGAAATTTGCAAAGTAGTTTCTTTTTTTTTATATTTATTGTTGAAAAAGATTTCAATATGAAATGCTGAGCAGTTCACACACAAGTTTGCATGCGTTTTTCTATGGTCTTATGTTATACACACTGAAAAATCTCCAAAAGGAGAATCGGTAAAGTGCAGAAAACGATATCTTTACATATACAATTATAATCTTATATATATTGACGACAAATATATAAAAATCAATTTCGTGGAGAAACAAACGAAGAACAAAATGAAAACAAACTGCAACAACAATCAATTTTCGCGCTTCTTACACTCGACTTCGAAATTCAAAATCGAACTCGAAATTATTGTGAACAATTGTAAATATGTATAAGATATGTATAGAGGGTTTAATAACTCCATCAAAATAGGAAAAATCAAAAATCTAGAACCTAAGAAACTCCTCCATTAGGAACACAAAAATAATAATCAAGCAGTATAGCAGTATAAGCAAGTATAATCAAAGAGTAAAATCGAGAAAATGTTTTTTTTTTTTAATTACTGCATATACATATATATATTTTAGTTTGGGTATATGTAAGCTACTTGCACACATATGTATGTAGATGTGTATCAACATTATCGATACAACATTCTGTTAACGGTTAATGGTAACGCTTATGATTACTGATTATGAATTATTTATAACTGCAAAAGCAGCCTTTGTGGGCATTATATTCACCATAAGAAATACACAATTTAGCATGCAAATGCGAAAAGCGTTAGATATTTAATACCGATGAAATCAATTCTAATTGAAGACTAATTGAAGCAACAAAAGTTTTCCAGCAATTCATTCGGATTCTCATTGATACAACAAACGTTTCCTCACACAATTTTACACATATAAAAAAGAGTTTTTGAATTTTTGCAATAAGAAAAACCGAAAGCAAAAAACATTTTTAGAGTAAGTTTTCTTTGCTTATCCATCGGATCGAAATATCATCCATCCTTGAACAAAAAGTCCTAGCCTAACCTAAGTATATTAGCGCTTAAATTGGGGAGATACCGAAATTCACAACAGATATCCACAACCTGAGCTCCCTTTTTTGTTTTTGTTTTTATTGTAATTTTTGGTGTTCTACCAGGACTTTTACCATGGTCTCCAGAGGTACGGCTCAGGGGCTGGCTTGGCCGGTAGGATCTGCTGCAGGAACTCATTGAACTGGTCGCTGAGTGCCTTGTCGTGGTGCTGCAGGAAGCTGGACACCTGCACGGCGCACTGACGGAAGCCACCCCAGTACGACTCCGCCTCCAGTCGCTGCTGATGGGCCACCGGGCCAGAAAGTTGCGAGGAGCTGCATGCGCGTTGTTCCTGCAAAAGGTGCACGGCCAGCTCCAGGATGTCAGCCTTCTCCAGCTTATTCAGCCCTGTGGTCTCCTACGCAGTTGAAGAATGGAGAATGGTCAGCTGGGACTGTTCTAGACTAGGATCCTTACACCTAGGCTGGGACCTAGAACCAAGGCTACCTACCATGTGAGCTAGATCCGAAATAATAATCTTTAGCTCGTCCAGGGAGTTGTTGATGCGCGCACGACGCTTGCGCTCTAGCAGCGGCTTCATCACCTTGCGGTACTCAGAAGAGCGTGACAAGCCCTGCTCTACGTAGCCACCTCTGAAAATCTGGTTGCGCTTCATCTCGTTTGGAATATACGTGGACTTCGCAAGGGCTGCCGTGCTCTTGGCTCCGAATTGCACGCCGTTTTTACACAGACTGACTGTCAGAGCCCAGGTCGCCGTAGCAGCAGTGGCACTGGCAGTAGCAGAAGCAGAGCAGCGTTTTTCGCTCAAATCAGCTCCAATTTCTGATAGCCACTCCGACGGCAGACGAGGCTGCATTCTCCATTGACAAAAATAACAAGAAAAGAAGGCTAACCTCGGAGGCCGGAGTTTTTAATACCCTTGCAGATCGATCGTTCCATTCCTTTTTCAGCTATAGGAATATTGTCAGCAGTATCTTATACTCAGAATATCTTTCTATTATAGCTGGATGACACACTGTTCCAATAAAAATAAGCAAAAAATATATAGGTCTGTGCAAAGATGATCGAAAAAACAGACCGTCTTATGGAAGTGTGTAAAAACTGCCGATGCCAGGCAAAGTTTTGTTTATTAGACTTGAGAGAGTGGACCAGGGATAGGGGATCTGGGGGCTTTTTCAAGTGGCAGAGACATGGATGGCCGTCCAGATCGTGTCAATTTTTTCTATGCTCGTTCAGCGGCGAAAAGGAAGGGGTGAAAGGGTCACCCTATCTATCCCCCCGGAGACCGGCTTAGCTGATACGCCGTCGAGCCACGATCTTTTCACGTTCACCATTAGCTTTGTATGCTATTAGAAACTGCACACAGCTCACCTCGCAACAGGTGGCTATGGGGCTCCATTTCCAAGTCAAAATCCACCGAAATGACTGTCGCCATCCTGTTTATCCAATGGCGACAACGGGGAATGTGGCTGGTCTCACCTGACAGAGGGTACTCTGTTACGTACTATAGAATTGCGTAGAATTTTTGATAAGTATGTAGGTACATACGTTATTTAAAGAAACACTCCATGTAGCTACAACGCCTTTTTTGGAGTTCCCGGATTTTCCGCGATGTCAATCTCCATTGAATCGGAACTGCGCCGCTGAGTCTCGGATTCTGTCTTGGTTGATCTTTCAGTAGTGGCTTTATTTTTTAAATGGCTTTTCGAGATTGCGGCAAGCCTTCCGGGAGCTTCCCACGATCGGTCCATGTTGCACGCAAGCCTCTCTTGCCTCTCGCCCGATCTTTGTGGCGGCTTTTAAACGCCACACATGACTGTGAATATGGACTGGGGCTGAAACAGGGGTATGCGGCATGGGTAATTCGGAAAACACATGTTGTGAGCCCCCCTTACTTTGCAGTTTTGCTCGTGCGCAAATTATAATGTCTAAATACCCTAATAAGGAGCTTCAGCATTCGATGACAGACCCTGCGAACTTTGAAATTGCTGAAGAATAAGAAATGCGTTAGAGAGAATGGAGTTGCCAAGGCTGCGCTCTATCAAGAAAGAATAGAAAAAAAACAGTCTCGTCTCTCGCTTATGCCATTCGATCTACTACATTCTATTTTCGATGAGACAACCAGTTCAGATGAGCTTCATTCTTGAATGAATGTGATTCTTAGAAAGAGTTTGAGCTTGGAAAATAAACAAATAGCTGTTGATAGAACCCGAAATATTAATTGAGCTTCAATTCCGAATACCATTTTTTTTCATAGAGGGTAAGAATAACAGCAACTGTCAGCACTCTACAGATACAGATCGCCATGAGCATGAAGATCTCTATAAGGTCTATAGAGTCATTACGTCTCCACCAAAACACACGAAGCTTATTAACAATGATGCAGACAACTTGTCAGGGCTCCCCTCAAACTTTTTCAATCTGATCCGTGGACTGGGAGCGTGAGAAATAACGCGTTCATCGACGCGGAATGGTTCTCCCACCGAGTAGCAGGGCGAAATAATCAGCTTTTCGCGCATAACAACGCGTTGGGCGTTGAGTACCATGCATTATGTTGTATGTAACATTTGCAGGTGCCGAAATAAGGAAGCAGTTCGCTCTAGCTAGGGCTCAATGGCTCTGCCCCAGGACTCTAGATTGAACCTACAGCTCTGCCATATAGGCAGATTTAGGTTGTATTATTTCTGAAAGTAAAGAATGAGGTGCGGGTCTAGTCTCAAAATAGATTAATAATACATACAATACGGGTCGAAGTGAGGTGCAAGCAGTATGGAGAAGTATCATCTAGTATCGACTAGCTGCTAGGAAGAACTGGAGTAGAAGAGGTGTGGGAGTTGGAATATGGATAGGGAGAAGAAAATTTTGTCATTACCCTATAAAGGGATCGGGACTTGCAATTTTTTGGTTCCCTTCGTTTCGGCGGAGTTGGAGCTGGTTCCACGAACAGTTCTCGTATAGATCTCGCGTGGAAATTGTGGGAAATGTTTTGTCCAGGATAACAACGCAACTAATTGTTATATCAATAGTTTTCCGCATGGGCGGGCGATATACAAGGAGCCGAGTGAAACTGACCTGACCTCTGCTTTGGAATGAAGTGAAGTAAGGGTTCGATGTTCGGTTTTCATGTCAAAAATAAATATTAAAATTACATTTTTAACAGACGTTTTAATCGGTTATCCTCTATTAATGGCACACATAGATATAAGAGCTTTATACAGATGAAATCCAAAGCCCGTTGCACTTCAGAGGACGGAGGGTAGCGATTTCGAGATGGAGACAGGCGAAAGAAATTGCACGCACGCAAATTTGATGCTTGAAGCTGGCAACGTAGCGCCGGGGCTGCTTTTCTGGCCGAAATTTTGTGGCCCCACAGTGATGTAAAAACTCTGAAATCAAAAATGCCAAACCAAAAAGTAAATCTATTACAGATAATTGTAGAAACCTAACACCAGAATCAGCTTTGTCTTTTGCAAAGTACATATTCGAAAACCTGTATCAAATATAGAAAAAAGAAGGTCAAAATGTCCTAAAAATCACTTTATATTTTTAAAGAAACATTTTTATTCTCATTACAACATAAATCTCACGAGAAGTCTCCAGAAATGTTCCCTTTTACTTGCCGTTTTTTATGTAATTTGGTTTCACTGTTCCTTAAGCTGTGCGATATGGACCATTTCCAGGCCCTAGTTCTGTGGAAAATGACTGTGGCTGAAACGTCTATAAAATTGCTCATTAAACATATGTATGTATATGTATCAGTTGAGGATAAGGGGTTGCTGGCAATGACTTACATCATAAAAACCGGTGCTCTCTACATAAATGCTTTCTCTTCTCTTGTGTAGTCTGCGAGATATTCCCAAGCAGCCAAATATAGACAAAAATTGTAACGCACTTTAAGTGCACTCCGAAACATCTTGAAATTAAAAAAAAAAAAACAGCAACAACACAGAGGAGACGACATAGAAAACAGCCATTTGAGGCATGTGATAATACGAGTACGAGACAGCAGCGCAGCAAGGGCAAGCAGGGACATGAAACGAGTCGCGTTGCACATTCGACATATGAATGCAGAGTTCAAGTGCATGCCATGACACAGACTCTGCTATACTGTATCTGTGCTGCAAAGTGTTTTTTCCCAGGAGCTATTTATAACTATTTCGTTCCCAGTCCTATCTTTCGGCACTATGATTATGACGCTGGATGCGACGCTGCTTTTGTTCCTCATCTGGACATTTAGGTAGTCGAATCTTTGGTACTCTACTGAGCAGATGAAGTACTTGTAGAAATGGAAGGTGGGAATATAAAAGATATATGTGTAGACATTCGGAAACAGACAAGATTTCTTTCTAAAGGAATACCTGTGACCAATTTCTTTGAAGCCGAAGCAAGATGCAAGCATTCCAATTTACAAAACGCTCCTGCAATATGTATCTTAGAAAAAAAACAGGTTCAGTTAGTCAGGAGCCCGACCTACCCTTTAAAAGGGAAGCAGGTGCCAAAACATACGGTTTCTGGATGTTGAATGCTGGGGCCGAGAATTTGTATTAAGATTTGGGAATGGACATGCACATGGAAATGGAGATAAAGATGGATATGGGACTTTGACTGAGAGTCGGCCACATGCGAGGAGTCGGTGCAACGAAAGTATTGCAGCTGTGTGAGAGAAGAAGTCTATTTTTGGGGCCAGTAGTGCTGCTGCTGTTGAGGTTGCCACATGTGTTGCTAAAAGGCATTGTAATGAGAGCAGAAATAGAACTCCACTTGAGCAATGTCTCATAAAGCAGACTTGAAGTTTGGCGCGCAATGTGCGACACACACAAATATATGGATGCCTGTTATGTTTTATTTTTAATCTTTCGATTTTGGAATTCATTCTCTCAAAAAAGACCTCTCACTCTCTGGCCTGCACGCAGTGAGAGCGAGTGATCAATTGAGGGAGAGAGCACTCATATAAGACGAGGAGTATGCGCGTATTTTTGGACAGTCTTTGTGCAGGAGCTCGTCGCGTTTGAACCCTGAGAACAAAAGCAGTGCAGGCGCACCGGAACCTCAATGGGCGTCATCTATAAGATTCTTAAGCAGCAACGTGAGCAGCAGCACCGGGGTCTTACCATGGACCTTAGCCTGAGCACGGCCACCAGGTGTAAGGTGCAGGCGGCCATTAAGCAACGCCAGCAGCAGCGCCAACTTGAGAACCACCTGGAGCCAGAGCCAGAACAAGTTCGGAGCCAGGAGAGGGATCACGACAAGGAAGAGCTTTCCGAGCAGCAGTTGCAGCAGCTCTGCCGCTTCCTGGCCGAGAATGCGGCACGCAAAAAGGTAAGGAAGCCCCCGAGAAACTTACCTGGTTGTGTGCTAAACGGCTTATTCTGGTGCAGCGCCAAAGCTTCAAGCTGAAATACGATAGCGAACTACCAGCGGATCATGTGAAAGTTCGGGAACACGAACAAGAGCGAGAAGGGGAACGGGAGCAGGTGGAACTCTCATCGCCAGGCCAAGTCATAGAGATGGATCTAATCGAGCAGCTGCATCATGCCCACTTACCTTCCACAGCCACAGCTAGGAGTACTGCGTCCACGGCGCCACGTGACAGCATCCTGCTGAAGATACGCCACCAGATCTTTGAGCGGAAGCGACAGCGCCAGCGGCAGCTGGCAGAGCTGGTGCAACAGCGACTGGTGGTGTGGCGCCCGTGGTAGGGCTCTTCTGCGAGTACAGTCCTGGCCATAGCCATAGCCATAAGCGAGAGAGACTCGAAAACTGAAACTAGTCTAGGGTTAGGTTTTAAGAATGCTTTAGGTTTTATTCCTTCTGCAGAGTGATGATCGCGCTGCTCTTCCATTTTCCCCTTTCTATTTTTTTTGCTGTTAATTATAGTTAATAGTAATAATTTTTCCTTAGCTTAAGTCGATGCACGAGTATGTAAAAGATGAAAGATCTTCCCATATATTATGTATTCTGAGTGGTAATATGAGTGCACCATGTATTTTTTTAATAAAACTGTATTATTTCATTTTAATTATTCTTAATTTTTCTTCTGAGTGATCTCCATATATTTTAAGCAACTCGTACTCGTACTTATTCCTTCAAATTTTCTCCCAATTCCAAAATGTCAATATTTTGCGGTAAAAATTCAAAATTTTGCCCCTATTGTACAACAACACCAGTTTTCTGTGGTCTGTTAATCATAGTTAATAATGAATTTTCCTTAGCATAAATATATAGACCAAGTGTGCGAAAGATGCAGCAGTTCCCATATATTATGTACTCTCCATGATGCTTTTATTATATATTTATTTTTTTGTTTGCTTAATAAGAGCAATGAGAAAAACATTTTTTTTTTTTAATTGCTTGCTTTATTTTAATTATTTTTAGTTTTTCCCCTGAATGGGCTTCTTTTCAATTTTCTCCTACCTTAAATACCAACATTTTTGGAGGTCAAAATTCGAGCTCAGTTCAATTTTCGTTGGATGATTTTGCTTAACATTCGATCTTTCTTGGCTATTAACTGAGATTTCACAAAACGCAAAAAGATGAGTTAGCATATGACATTCCATAGCTGGCATTCCATTCCGAGGATAGTTATGGTTATGTATGAATCCGATTGATTATTTGATCTTGAACTGAATATTTTTTTTTAAAGATCTTTCTGATATATTTCATTTTGAAATATTGCTTACATTTATATTTATATTCAATAAGTTTATCGTATCGTATGCCACATTGGACATATACACATATTGGACAACGAATATCGAAGCAAATGTTTTGTAAAACATACCGAAACGATTATTGTGACCGTTTCAGAAATTCATACCCTACCGACGTTGTTACGGAAATCGCAGCGACTATGGTCACTGCTATGCTTATCGAACCACATATACGATATATTGTGACCACGACATACTAATGTATGTTTACGCGTATTACACCATATACATATGTACATGATAAAGTACACACGAGTATGTGGTGCGGCAAATGATTTGATTGCACCGCACATCGTTGCTTTCATTTTGTGGAATATCATGACGAAAATACTTTGGTACGCAATGCGCCACCTTTACTGGTCTTCTCAATGTTTGGGGCTACGGTAAATAGATGTTTTATAGTTGTAAGGAGGGTTTCTCTAAGTGGATCGGAGGTACACACACACTTAGTTTGGTACTAGTGGTACAGAGGATGGAGAATTTGAGAACATATTCTCGCATTCCCATAAGACAGGCAGAAAAGAAAATGTGAAACCTCAAAGGGGAAGTAGGCCTGGCTCTTAGCTCAACCCCCGTAAGCAGGAGTGCTACATTCTCTAAGAAGGTTCTTGCGTCATTTTTGTGACTAAACTAACTAACTTAGACCAAATTTAGAACTAAATGTACAATTGTTTATAGTGGTTACAATTAATTAACTTAACACATCAATTTACACAACAATTTAATATTAAATTCGTTAGACGAAAGGTGCTCAGGACCTGTACGATCAATTACGGAGAAAATTTTAACTAAGGACTCTCCCTCTTGCACCCACCACTTAAATTCTAAAATCAATTGATACGTTAGTGTATATGTAGATATATATATACAGATATATCTCAACTTACAGATAGACAAGTGTATGCATAAATACGCGTTTCACACAAATATCGATTACTTATAATATTGAATTATAAATTTATAGATCGATATATAGAATAGTAGTACCTATTGTATGTGTGTGTTTGTGTTTACATCGCATGATTCTCCATATGTTTGTCTCTCTGTTCTGTCGGTCGTTTTGTCGATCGCTCTGTCAATATTTCGTACGGTATCTCTGCATCTGTTAATTTTTTTTTTTACATAAAAGTATAATTATACCAGACACACACACACACATATGGATTTTGCTTCAGGCGTCTAAGCAAACTATCTTTTAGATAAAGTTTTTTTTTCCGAAAATCGTATTTTCACTTATCACTTTATTATTTTTTTTTTTTAATATAACGCCAAATATCGATCTTAACTAAATCCTGAATACCGATCAGTTTTTGTTTTTGCACTTAAGCTCGAGAAATCTGTTTCGAGAAATTTCTGTCTTTCCCATAGAACATTTTTTATGAATTGTATGGCGTAGCACATTATCTAAGATCTTACATAACGTTCAGAGTAGCGTATACTCTACAATATATGTATATATCTTATCGAGATGATAGAAAGTAAGTTCATACCGTAGGGATTATCGGAGCTCCAAAAAACTCTCTCTCTCTCTTTCTCCCATTCTGTCTTTTTTTCTCCCATATTCTTCTGTTTTTTTCTTTATATTCGTCTGCAGCTTAGCTTTCGCGAATATCGTATCGACTAAACTTATGTATACTTACGTATTCTCATGTATTTTACTATAGTTTTGTTTTTCATGCCCTTCTGTTTATCTATAGCTAAGCTCGTATAGTATTCGAGTATTCTATCTAACTATCTCGAAACAAGCTTCTACTTGTTTCAGACCGTAGACCGTAAGTGAATATGTTAACGTATACTACACCATACAACATACGATGGTGTTTAAACTCTTCCCCAACTTTTTTTGTGTGTGTGTGGACTGAAATCTATGTATTGGCATTTATTATCTGTCTTTCAATTACACTTGGTATCACTCAGCGTAGAGCTACCAATTAGTGTGTACATATAAATATATTAATAATATTATTAAGTTACTTATAAGTGGACATCTAGACATTCAAAAGACAAAGACATGATTTTTGTACGTTAGTCGTCATGAATACGCGCTATCGTTATTGAAAGTTCAAACTTAATGCTTGATATTGACAGGGTAAGTCTCAGACTCGGGCTCGATCTTGGAGTGTGTAAAGGTGGTGTCTGCAGGGTAGATGGGATGTGCTTGAGTGCTTAAACGGTCGTGGTGGTAATGTATGGGTTAATCTGTCGAGGCTAGATGCTGGTAGAGCGTCCCAAATCAAGGCTCGATGTGGTGGTATCTGTTTTATTGCGGTTGAAATGGGGATGCTTGGACACCTTCGCGAAGTGCACCATTGGCATGCCCCTTTCTGTCTGGACGGGCTAATTGATGTGGGTGGCGAGTCGGGTTTGGCAATCGTGGCATGCATTTGGGTATAGTGACAGTAGTAGTATAATTAGAACTATTGCCTGCTTGAGGTGTAGCTGCAGCTGTGGCCGCAGACGCCGGGGGGCTAGCACTCACCTCCAGGTCCACCTGGTGGCACAACTGTCCCTTCAGCCAGGGCCACTTGAAGGTGCGGAAGAGGGTATTGCGGAAGTCCTCGCTGAAGAGGCAGTAGATGTAGAAGGTAAGCGAATAGTTGATCAGTTCCAAAAGATTAGCACTGGCACGGAAGACCTGAAACGGGAAGCTCGGATACACTTCCGAAGCGATGGTCATGTGAAGTATAGCCATCGGCGAAACGCAGACCAAGAATAGGATCGATGTGCTACCCAGCAGAAGAAATAAACGACGCTCCTCCGCAAACTTCCTCGGGTCATCGTCCTTGTGGAAGTTCGAGTTGGCCCGGGTCAAAACCATTTGGCGGCGGCGTTCGCAAGTTTGTCGGTATACAATCATAATCTGCAAGTTCAGGCCTCCGATCACCACTGTCGGAATCAACTTAAAGACCATCTCCAGCATGATCTTGTATACCTTGTAGAACATGGTTTGCTGGTAGATAGTGTTATCGCGTCGTAGATAAACATAGACATCGGGAGAGGAGAGAATGCACTTAATCAGCTCGCCCCGGAAGATGCTCGGCAAGTACGCGATGATGGTAACCAAAGAGGTGAGAAAGACCACCAATCTATAGATCAAAGGTAGAGTGGACAATGGAAAGATGCAAAAAAAAAATCAAAGGCTCAGTTCCGTAATGTACTACAAAAGATATATATGTACATATAACTATCAAGTACGCGTATAATAACGGAAATTTGACCATTTTATTGTGAAAACTATCTAACAATGCAATTATATTGTGAATAAAGTTTGGATACCACAACAAAATCGAACGAAAACGTTCTAAAATTACTGCACGATACTCAGTCAGTTGAGCTCTCCTGCGCCAGAAGGCGCACATTGAACGAGATATAGTGGGTGAGAGACAGCGAGAGAGAGAATGACACTGAAATTTCATTTTTTTTTATATATTTGTTTCAGGCTATAATAATGATCCCATCTGGTCAAAATTCGACAATCTGGTTAATATGGTCATTCTCTATGATCCTGTGGTTTGGTTAAAAAATTTTAAAAAGAAAAACATGATTCAGTGTGATGTCACAGGTCCTACATATAACATTTTGTTTCTCGTATAGTTTCCGAAAACTAGACGTCAAGCCAGACAGACGGTCAGACGACTATTGATGCAGATCAAGAATATATATACTATATGGTGTCAGAAACGCTTTCTTCTGGGTGTTAAACACATCCACATCCACCTCAGAACTAGTGTATCCGTAAACTCTTAGAGTACCGGGTTATACCCGCACAATTTAAATGATATTAAAATGAAATAATAATTGACGATAATCTACTCACCCAGGCCGCCCCATGACGGGGCGCGTGACTCCAGGATGGCATACCGAGACATAGCGCTCGAGTGTCAGTACGAGAAGCATCATCACGCCCACACCTGCGGGAGGAAGCAGTTCCGTTAGTTCCGCTAGTGCTTGGAGGATCGAAGTGCGCGCTGGTCAGGCGAGCACTCACCCAAGCACCCGTTGCCCAAGTAGAGTTCCAAGTGAGCCGTGTAGAAGGCGGGACCGAACTCCTCCCACTGTCCCCGATCTTTGTGGACCTGCATACGGATGCCGAAGGGTATTGCGAATAGAATCGCAAGCAGTGCTGCGGCGGAGTATGCTACAGGGTGAGGAAAGGAGCGGAAAACCAATGGGATTAGCTTGGTTCAAATCTATAAAAATTTCCTATATTGCTGAGTTTATGGCGGCATAATTATGGCGCCGTTTTCACCCTGAATGGCAACAGGAAGCAGTCGCGAACAGCACACAAACACTTTTCTACTCGCACATATACTCATACAAATGTATGTACATACATATACACACATATGTACATATATACAATAGCGACACTCAACTGCCGAGTGAACTGAATGGCTTTCCTTTCCGGTTTGCCTTTTTCGGCATATTTTTCCCATCTTCTAGGACTCTTTTTTGGATGTAAACTTTTGCCTCTTGATGTGCGAATGTTTGTGTGTTGGGCTACGAATGTATGTTTTTTATTGATTTATTATTTTGTTTATGGCCATATAATTATATTATCAGTAATCTCATGAATGAGCGTCTGTTCTGTGCTCAGATCGACTCTATTCTGGTATGTGTATGGATGTGTACACAGAGCAATTGTTGGCTATTTGATATCCCGGTCCAAAAACGGAAACACGCGCACAATGGGGCAATAGGGGAAGAGGAAGATAGTCCTCTCATAATGATGGCCATATAATTGGGTACAGGGACACATTAATAAATGTCAGTTTTGTTTGTGCCAAGCCTGACAAGTGTGCTGCCATCATCACATAATTTTCTCATCACATTTCAGATTCAGCCTTCCACATCCTGCGTCCTAGCGCCTGCCAGCCCAGGGAAACTATACAAATTTCTGGTGATTGTCTGTTAACATCATGACTACTCTATTCTGGCGGGACATGTGGCTTAAATTCTTGGGGGGCCCAATGCTTTAGTTCTGTAAAGATCACAGATTCATGAAAGAGAGATCGAAATTTTCTGTGGCGCTATGTCATTCTCCCAGTGGATATTAAAACATTTTTATTCCCTGTCAAAGTGCATAATTTTTCGTCAAAGCTGTACCGAGCATGCCACCGCTCAACCACTCTTATAAAAGCAATCAGGAAAGGGGAGTGAGAAGTGCCAACATTTGGTGGCAATAACCTCTAAAGAACGGAATGGTGAAACAGTCGGCTGGCATCGTAAAACGGCTGCTAACAGCTAAATACTTTTGTTATTTTAATAAAATGATCTGGTCGGCCTTATAAGGGAGCGGAGAGCTTGCTCTGATTTCGGTCATAAGTATGGCCCTTGCCATAAGACATCTCTTCACAACTTTTATTTACTGGCACTTGTGCAAAGCTGAAACAATGGTGATACATATTTCAGCAGCCAGAAGGCAAAAGGGTCTGTCGCTTTGCCAGTCTCCATTTCTACATTTGTCTCTTCCTCCGTTTCTTCATTTGCCTCTTTCTCTTCGTTCTCTCTTTACTCCACTCTACTCTAGTTGAATCAGTCCGAGTTCTTGTTTAGGTTCATTTTCTTGGCTGGGGCAATCGAAAGGCAATCAATTATGCTGCCATCGAATTCGAATTACATTTAAAGCATTTTAAATATTGTTTTCTTTGATACTTCGGTCAACCTCTCTCTTCCTACACATTTTTTATTGGGTCAGGAGCTACCTTTGGACACACTCTGGACACACTCTGGACATACTCTGGTCTTGGAATGACTCCTCAAAAGCCACTCAATTTGAGTGTGGCGATTGTGGCAATTTTATACTCTATTTCTTGTAATGGCATTTGCTCAGAGTCTTTAGAGCTTCGGCTTGACCATAGTCATCTCTTTGTTTTTTTTTGTTTTTTTTTTTTTTTTTTAAATTGTTTGCTTAGTAAAGTGAGTCGTCTGCTGATGTTGATCTGGTTTTCTTGCAATATTCGTTTTGACGACGGCATTTATGAGCTATAGTCGAGGCTAAGAAATTGCTAACAGCCGGCGTTGACAAAATTGTGTTTCTCCCCTTTCTCTGCCGTTTCGGAAGAGTGAGGAGCTAGCTCATTAATCAATTAAACTGTCATAGAGCAAACGAGTGTCTAACAGAGTTAAGGACATCCTGTGCAATACAGGACAATGTCTATGAGGCGCTGCCCGGGAAAGCTTTGTGGATTTGCATAAATTTCGACGGGGTTAACCAGTCTCATCTAATGAAATAACTTCCAATGAGCCAACACAGCCACTAATATGCGCACACACAGACGCACACAAACACACACACAAAGAGCTGGTACAGAGAAGGTACACAGATAGCGTGATGAGAGGGGGAGACGCACGCATACACATTATCGGCATTGTGTGGGTTCATGCCTACACCGAGAATTTCCTCAAAAATCGTCGCGAGGTTAGGTTAATGAACAAATTCTGCAACACAATGGATGTTTTTGCAGTGGGGAGGCGATGCCAGGGCAGGGAGGGCAGGAGCGTGGAAACATTAGGGCACATTATCAAAGGAAAAACTCAATTTGGCAATCAGCCAACAGTCAAAAGTCAACAGTCATCCGTTTTCCAAAAGAATGCCAATGGAGCTAGTCAAATTCAATGTTTTTCTATGCGAAGACATACGAGTGTCTCCTAGTGGATTCCGGATTCTGATGGCTACTTACCCCGCATATAAATATAGGCGGTGCCACGCATGTTGCGACGGGTGAGCACAATTAAATTGAGTACATTGCCAATGATTCCCATTGCACAGATGATGGGCAGCAAAATCCCATAGCAGTACTCACGGAGAGTCTGCGTACGTGGATCCTCCACATCCTGTGAGAAGGTAAAAAAATTATTCATATATGTATACTTAAATCGTTTATAAAAAAAACTTTGTCCATACTCGTAGTTATTTGTGTGGCAGATAGCTCCCCCTTTTGTGTCTTGGATGGGCTGCCACATATACAAATTCAATAGTCGACTTGACATTTTTAGTCTTGTGTCTTTTATGCACATATGTACACCCAAACCCCATCCATTCCTGATTACTTGGCTTTTTTTTTTCGTCTCTGTTTCCATTCCTTTTTCCGTTTCTGTGGTAGCTTCGAACCAAAGTTGTATACAAAGCCGCTTCTACATGTCTTCGAGAGTCGGGGTAGGAACTTTTGCCACCAGCACTCAGAATGGAGTATGGAGCGTGCTGTGCCATGAAATAAGCTTTCCCCTCCGGGACCCTGTTCGTCTTTGCTCCTCATTCTGCCTTTTGTTTAACTAAAAAACAGTTGAGAACCCCATGGCGCCTGAAAGTAGGCAACAGTTTTCCCTCGAGGCTGGCAGTCCCACCCAGAGCAACCAGAGGGCGAACTATAGCGGGACTTGGTGCCTTGGAAAAGAGTTATGCAAGGCTGACTCAAGGCAGTGGTAATGTCGTGCGAATATATCTTCAGCTCAATTGCCAGTTTAATGAGGAACAGACTTACCGAAGAGAGGACAGAGTGGACAAAGGATAGTCGGCAGTTGGCCTGCACCTGTATTGATGAGAGTCTTACCCGGTAGATGTCATCGCGCAAGTCGGTGCCAAAGACGGGCGTGGCATTGGCAGCTGCGTCCAGAGCATCAGTGGAGCTGCTGAGATTAGACCCCCAGATAAACGAACAGTAGGCGGGATCCTCTTCGGTGTGGTATAGCCTCGTTATCATTGTTGTTGTTTTGCTGAGAAATCGAGAATCGAGTTTAATTTGTGTAAGTGAAGCGAACCCAACACAACACAACCCCCGACCAGAGAAAGAGAGATTGCAAGTAAAAATAGCCAGGATTGGGAGAAGGACTGGTACTGCGACGCACGTATAAATAGAATGCCTTTGCAATGCCAGTAATTTAAATATAGCGATGAAAAGGAGACGAAAAAACACTGTGACGCGTCTAGCGGAAACGGAAGCGTTCACTTGAACTATAGTGCGATTAAAACAAAGCTCAAAAGAAAGAAAAACAAAAGGGCGAGAGAAATAAGAAGAGAGAAGTGGAAGAGAGAGATAGCGTAACAATCGGAGCTTTGATTGCAGGACAAACGCGCGCACAAACAAATCAACAAAAATTGAAAAGCAGCCTATGAAAGCGTAAAAGTAAAATACTGTAAATAATTGCGGCCAGTAAGCAAGTTGGTAATGAAAAGGAAAATAAAGGACACATTTTTATGGGTTAGTACATTTTTCTCTTGCTCTACCGCCAGCTTTAACGTAAAGCTTTTAATCGGTACCCGTTCCTTAAAGGATTTTATAGTTCGGGCTTAATGGACTGAGTGCCACTCACTTGTTTGCTCTTGCTTGGTGGAAAATCTTCGTAGTAACTGCTTTCTTGCTTAGTAACTAGTTAGCGTTTAATTTTAATTACTTTTCTTCTCATTTATAGCTCTTGTACTTCTTTGCAATATATATTTTCTTTTGGTGTCTAATCTTTTTCTCTGTAAACTTCATCGAATTATTCTCGAAATTAAATCGTTCGATCGTGAATCGAATTACTTTGCAAACTTTTTTGAATTCATCTCGAAATACATCGAATTATGATTGCAGCTTTTGATTGTAATGAACTTAGAACGCTTGGTGGTATCTATTATCAAAAACAAGGAAAAAGATATGGGCTAGAGCGTGTTCTGAGAAAAGTGCGTGTGTAACGGAATTTCTCATTTATATTTTATTATGTGAAAGCAGGAGACTCCGTCTGCCTTTGCTGCCTGTCATTGTGTAAGTGTGTGTCTGCATATGTTATTTGCACGTGTTAAGCGGCCGCCACACCTCTTCCAACACGTCGCCCACTGTTCAAGTACTGCCCGCAGTTGGCTTTCGCTAGGCGTTAAAATCAACTTTGACAGGCAGTAGCAATAGATATACAATTTTTTAATAAATGGCCCGAACGCCGAACAAAAGGCAACCGCTGATAGTCCTGCGAGTCTTGTTGATGAAATTCTGCCTTCTAGAGCTTATCCTGCGCGAAGCAGAGCGAAACAAAATATTTCATTGACTCATCTCAGATTTCCGGTTGGCGTCAGCGAAAGCAGCAAAAGGCAACAAGGTGCACTGATGGGCATGCCATCCGAAAGTATAAAACAATTTTCGCATGCACCCATTTGTATAACACACTTACGCATCGCTTTCCGTGTGCTTCGTGCGGTGACACAAATATGACACAAACTTAATTTCCCCAAGGTAGAACATACAAGCACTCTGAATCCGTGACTGACTGGTTGGGATAGGATCTGTATGGGCTGTGGAACTTCTGAGAGCTCTTCAAACGGTGCCTTCACAGCGAAGACACCTGCAGAGAACTCTTTGTGTAACCTTTAAATCTGACTCTCAATTTGAGGCTCGGTTTGATTCTGAGTCTGAGTCTGGATCTCATTCTGACTCTGCGTCTGGAGATGGCGATGAAATTGGGAAGGGCAAAATTTATGCCTACGATTATCATAATAATTTGCCAGACCCAACCAGACCAGTCCGACACACATGACAGCTCTGGAGCCTTCTTGCTCTGGAGCTGGATTTAAAAGTGTGGGGCTGACTGTGTGAGGGTGTTGACTGTCAACTGTCAATTTTTGCTTGTTAGTTTTTTTGGTGTTTTTATCTGCCTGTGCTGCTGTCCTGCTGCTGTTTGCCGAGCACTTACAGTTATTGCGGTTTAGTTCGCCCGGCAACTGAATAGAGACCCGGATCGGTTGTGGTTCAGCCATCCCCTCTTTGGGGCTGTCTGTGCTTTGGATTTGTTTTACATTTTGCTGGTTTTTTAGTTGGGTTCTGCTGCGGCGGCTGCTTCTGCTCATACTGCCTTGTGCTTTTCATTTTATTCGGTTAACAAACAGCAGTTTGTCATTTAGACAAACACATGCTCTCCTCACATGGGTGAAGAAGAGAGAGAGCTACATACTGACTTTGGCTTTGGCTGTTTATCTTCCACTCAATACGTACGGCAACCCGAAGCACCAGAAGCACCCGACGCAGGGCTTAATCGAAGGAAGGGCTTGGGCTATCTCGCTCTACGGCAGGGCTTTGAGCTGTATGCCAGCGATCCATCTATCTCTATCTTTGCCGCTTTCGCTGCCGCATGCGTTCCGGCATGATTAATGCCTTTGTTTACATTTCCCGCTTTCCGCATTTCTGTCCCTGCCCCTGCTCTTACCCCACCTTCTGGCTGGTGGCTGCCTGCCAAGCGAATGATATGTTTAACAAAAAAGTTTAACACAAATTAAGTCAAACTGGCAGCGCTTAACGATGTGCTACATAGATGAATATCTGTGTGGGTGGTAGAGTATCTATGTATTGGTTACCAGCTGTTCGAGGTATGTGTGTGGGTGATCCAAGGTTTTTTCCACTGGAAGGAAGGAATCGGACTTTCGACACGGACTGGACTCGAGCCTCCCATTCGCACACAAAATGACATCAAGCCAAGTGACATCCCCCCGAAGGGGCGAAAAGAGGGCCATGACAGCCAGGACACACACAGCCCCACAAACCCTCTTCTGGAAGGCCGCATACATACATGCTCGCAAATTAAGTTTTGCTTTGGGAAAAAAAACCCAACAGTTAAAGGAAATCAACTCAAGACAAAGTTCAAGTGGATTGCCCAGAATCAAGAAGCAGGGCAGGCCTTAGCCAGGCACAGAAGAGCAACTTTTACAATTGTCTGGAATTGATTTGCAGTTTTCTGATAATTACTATTAATAATAATTATCTATAATGATGATATAATTTTATAATGCTCCATATAATGCTGTGAGGCGGCCAATGGTCTTCTACAATCTAAAATATTTTTACTACTGCCTAATGCTAAAGACACACACGCATAATGAATACGTTCAGCCGTAGGATAGTCTCAATTAGTCTCCCCCATTTTGACCGTTCAACTTTAAATTTCATCGAGGTGATATGATTGAAAACTCCCCATTCGTTTTGTCGAATCACGCAGCCCGATATAAATAAATAGCCAATGGCCAATGGCGATGCCCAAAGTAATTATCTATTATCTGCATTCCCAATGAACTGTAAAGTGTACATAGAATAAGAATAAAAACATTTTACAGACAAACCCAATGGTCAAAAATACTACAAAGGTAGTGTTTGAACATTTTTCAATAACTTCCGAAATAAAAGAATAATGTTTAGAAAAGCCAACCATACAAAAAAAGACTTAGGCCAGCAGATTCAACAAGACGTTTGACTTAAAACGTGTCAAATAATGAGAAGCCGACATTTTGCATGACATAGTTCTGCTGCTGGGAATTAATATATGTAAATATATAATAATTATTATTATTTTAACATATTCGATATGAAACTTTTCTGGATTTACTGTGATTTCTGTTCCACCCACTGTGGCTGAATCTAGTCTCATGTGATTATTGTACTCCCATGATATACTTATAGACACATGGTGGATTTTTTTATATCTGCTGGCTGATGTCATTTAGGGACAGGACAGCCTCCCATATGTGTCGTTTCCAACCATTAACTTTTTAATTTCCTAGCAGAAAATGGTGGCTGCCGAGGCTGTTTGCTGTCCACCTTTTGGCAACAGCTTCAAGGACTCTTTTCGGCACTGTTTTCTCTTAATTACGCAATTGTTTCATTTAATTTTTGTCGCTCCTCCAATTAAGATTTTAATTAAAACCCCAAGGCGGCACAAGTTTATTGCATGCCTGCCCGCAGGTCCTTCTCTTTTTGCCATATTTACGCTATATATAAAAACGAGCTTTTAATCGAGAACTTATCGCAAAACCTGCGACTGGCTACATTTTTATGCACAGCAGCAGAAGCACCATCGGAAGCGGCATCAAGATTGACCATAAATTGTCATGACCAGTTGACGTTTGCGCTTGAAAGCAATCGAAATTACTTACTGGCTTTCTCACTGCTCCACTGGCCCACACTATTTTAGGCGTCTCGCTGCCATAGATAAACATGCAAAGTGCGTGTCCTTAGTGCCCTTGTCCGTCGGGGACAGGCGACGTGCGGGTCAAATAAAATACGTTTGGCGGGCCGCCAACTTTTGGCAGCTAATGTTCACCGTCGTGGCTGAAGTTTAACTTCACGATTTGTGAAATCTCCGAATCCGAATCAAATCGTATGTCGTGTTGATTCTCGACAAATGTGACTTGTGTTGCTACGAAATGCAGCAGGGCAGCAGCAGATAAGAGTCAGTCAAAAGGAAGGAGACGACCAAGTATATACATAGTGCCCATTGGTATTACTCGATATTTTTTTCCAAAGAGCATGACAAATTTTAGTTGTAATGAACATACATTTTCGATCAAACAAAACTTTTTTTAAAAATTGCAACTACGAATCATTAATAATAATAATATAGAGCTGGGATAGGGGCAATCGGACTTAAAACAGTTTTCGGTCTGGAAAAATTTAAATTTTTGTAGATAACGAAATTTGTAAAGTCTTTCCAAATATAATACGAAGTTTGATTATCACAAGTATTCTGAAATATACATATACATCTATGTATATATATGTACATATGTACCTATAATACAAATATTTCTGACGCTTAATATTATAAAATATCTAAGTATCAGGTTTTTTTGCAAGTTGACTAGAAAGAGAACACTGCATCTCATATCATATAAAACAAAAGCATTTGAAAGTACATATTATATAATTTATACGTATTCAAAGTTTGACCAAAATCGGATCAATATGCAACGTTATAGAATTATAAAATATTTAAAATTTAAAAAACGGAACGTTATTATAATTCATCCTGGGCTCGTCCCGACAAAAACGATAGCAAGGATATCATACGACATAGACATTAAAATATTGTTAGGATGTTTAAATAGGAATCGAAGCCACCGTACCAAATATGCTAATAATTTTAATAATGTATAGCATATCTTCTAATCAAGCCATGGAAATATGACTAAAATCTATTTATTAGAATTCTACATTATTACTCGTATGTTTTAACACATTTTATTAGAATCGTATTATTATTATTATTATTATTTTAATCTGTAATATATATTATTTAATAGCATTAAGATCGGTCGAAAAGGAAGTTCAAAAAAGACTTCATTCCCATAATCTGGCTCCTCTCTCTTTCCCCCTCCTGTTGATGTTGCTGGCGTTGCTATTGTTGTTTTCGAGACTAGCGCGGGGATAAATTGTAATAACTTGCTGACCCCGACACCAACACAGCAGCACCTATTCACATACATATGCCACCAAGTAAACAAGCGGCACTTGTGGCACAAAATGGCGAGACTGTTGCCGCGGGTAGAACGAGGTTCAGCAGGGAGTAGTACGGGTTGGGTTGGAACAAAAAAGCGGAATGCACTCAAAATGAAAATGAAATGTCAACTTACCCCCAGAGACGTGCGAAGGGCAATGATGACGCTCACGTTGGCTGCTGCGCTGCTCTGGCGCTTTTCTTCACTGGTGTTGTGGATTTTGCAACACGTTGTAGTTTTAGTTATGTATAGTTGAAGTTTTTGATTGTTGATTGTTGAAAGTGCTGGTGTGGTGTGCTCTTTGGTGCTTGGAAAGAAGAAAGTATAACTTATTTTAACCAATTATTATAGTTTTTCCCCGTTTTTCTTTGAACTTTTCTTTGAACGGTTCGGTATAGCAGTTGTTACTTTGGCAGTTGCTGTTGCTGGGGCTTTTGATGTTGGGGCAGTGTCAATGGCTGCTGGCTCTTCGTCGTCGCCTTTTGGCAGTGACTCTTCGATTGGTTCGATGGTTGTTTCGCCTGAGTTCCGCGAACTCAGTGGCAGCATCAGTAGCATAAAAAGGATAGGATATAAGTAAAACATAAATCTGCACTTAAACGTGGATCGGCGATGGTAATGGTGGTGTTACTGGTATGGATTTTGGGCTTCGTGGCCGTGGTGGTGGTATTGGTATTGGCGGAGACTCTGGCCGTGCTTTCGGTCGAAGCCGCTCCGGGGGTGATCCGTCTAGTCAGCATACGGTACACGTCATGCAGATGCAAGTTCCCAGGAAGATAAGAATGCTGGCGTTTACTACCATGATTACCAAAATCATCCTGTCTTTAACTTCTGGCGCCAAAATTTAGAAACGAAAGTAATGGAAGCACTTTGATGGTTCAGAGCGAGCTCCGCCACACGCAGAAACTTTTGAAGAAGTTACGAAACTACACTTTTAATACTGTATGCCTTTTGCACTTTTTCAACTGACGGAAATGTTTCAGCTAAATTCACAAAAAAAAAAGTTCTTAGATGGTTAGTGTATGAAATCTGTGACTGTGCTGGTTATTCCAGAAAGGCCGTTTTTTTCAGGGTGAGGGCTTAAGACTTGATGTTTGCTGCTTGTCGAACTTATTCTGTGGATGGGTCTTGCTTAGTGTTTCTGGCCTTGGCTACTGGTCCTGTTGCTTATGCTATTGCGTTAGCTGGTTTTGCTGATTGGGCACGACTTTGTGCTTCGGGTCCTGATGGGTAACTGAGCCGAAATGGCTGGCACAGCCCCTTTTATAGCAGTTGAACGATGCTTTCAATCGGGGTTGAATGTCGCATTCAACCAGCGAATAAGTAGGAACATTTTGTCTGGAATTTCCCTGTCTCGCTCTGGTGCAGGTCGATCGGCATGATTCGAGAATCTGCCACTGCACTGCTCCACAGTGCGGCGCCATCTGGTGCACAAGCTTCATGGAGGCTTATTCTTCTGGTTTCTTAAGCACTTGCAGGATTACGGATTGCTCATCGACTGCCGAGTGACAAAGCAGCCGAGAGCCCGTGCACAAATGCCCCTCTCTATGTCTATGGAGGTCTTCCCTAAGATCTGGTGATGGCTGCCAAAGCAGGGAATGGCCTCCGCCTGAATGCTGCCTGCCTACGCTGTTGAGATTTGCACGCTCTACCCCATCTTCTCCAGGCCCTTCTTCCGACGCATCCCATTCGAAGGCCCATTTGGCAAGCGGATGAGGTCGTCAACGACGCCAGCGTCGAACTCACTTGAGAACTATTTTAATAAACGTTATGCACGCATTGTCCTTCACCCTGTTTTTCTCGACTGTCACTGTGTAAGGGAGTATGGGTGAATGGGTGTATGGGTGCGTGCAAGTTTGTGTGTGTATTATTTCGCGCCACGGCGATGCAGTTTTCCTTTGCACTTTTCCTTCCTCCAACTGGCATCCCTTACTTGGGGTATATCACCCATTTCATTGATTTAAAGGTAGATCAGATCAGTCTTGAAAAATCGAACCCATATGGTTAAATATTTTTGAGGGGCCCTACCCGCAGAAAGAATGTTAGAATAAATCCCTCCAATAATTCCCTTCCCGAGTTACACTGCCAAGTGTGGATGGGAGTTTCGGATGGGATTGACAACGGCAGGGCATTGGGGGACAGGCACCAGGCACCACCCTTACGTTTACGCCCTTAGTGATCAGTAAAATTTTGTTTCTGCGGATATCCAGGTGCTGTTGCTCGAATTGGGTAATTGTCACTAATTAGGAATTCCCCCTGTTTATTCATATTTTCAATCAAATAAATAAATAAATAAAATCAGCATCTGCTGCCATTTTTGTGTGCCATATCTACAGGTGCCCTATGAAATCCTTACCTGCTACAAACAACCTTCTATATGTGTTCAATTCTGGGTTTTTCTGTGGCCATTTATACGGCAACTGAAACTACAAAAAAGAAATTCCTCGTTTATTAATCATTTGTCAATTAGAATGGAAACGTCACCTGAAACACACGCACAAATGACATGTTGCTTTTGCATTTCCTAAGTCGTGAATACCATCTGAATATTTTAATACTGCTGGCAGTTTGAAATTGAAATAATCAGGCAGGCTCAGTTTTTCATTTATTTTTGCGGATTACGTTTTCAGCCAAAACGTTTCGTTTTAAGGTTTTCCAGTTTTCACATATTTTTGCTGTTTGCACCAAAACGAAAATTGTTGTTGACCTGGCCAATTTTTTCCGAGCCAAATTTGAGGTTGGGTTAAAATCAAATCATTTATAAAGAAATCAAAAGTGAAATTACCCTGATATAACTATTATTTTGCTTTTGCAATTAAGCCTTGTTTCGTTGTACAAAAAGTCGTTTACTTTTCATTTCGTCAACGAAAATGTTTTCGTTTTGAAAACGAATAAATATTGCGGAATGTGAAAACGGGAGCCCCAATTTATGTGTATTCAAAAGTAAATCGAAAAACTTTTGTGAATGTGAAAGACGAAGCCTGGCTGAATAGTTGTGAGTTGCTGCTACGGCCACAACTCTATATTTATACCCGATACTTAGTCAATATGGTTCCCCTAAGCCATAACGGCGGCGCTAACATTGAACGACAAAGATTGTGTGAGAGACAGAAAATCAGTCAGAACGTGTACAGCGTTGCTTAGCCACTGAAAATTGATTTCTTCCTTTTGGCTATAATAATGATCCGATCTGATCTAGATTCGGCAATCAAGTAAATATGGTGATTTTCTAAGATTGTGTGTTTTTAATTTGTGGGCCGTCTTCCGCCCGGGGCGAACTTTTGAAATAAACTTGTAACAGTGAGATCTAACAGGGCATTCTATCCACTCCCCAAATTTGGTTTCTCTAGCTCTTATAGTCTCTGAGATCTAGGTGTTCTTTTTTAGAAATATGCAAAGCCGACCATGAAAAGTATGTGTTAGAAAGAGACAGAGCTGGAGAAATTGAAAATGTTTTCTTGATTCAGGCAGCAATAATGATACGATCTGGTTCATATTTTGCAGTGTAGAGTATATTTATTCTCTATAATTCTGTGCTTTTGATTTTCTCCTGACTTCAAAAATGTGGATGCCAAAGATTTTTCTTTTCTGGTTGGTGCGAAAGAGAGTGGGGCGAAGTTTTGAAGTACACTTGGGCAGGTTCGATATCACAGGAGTTTGGATACAAAATGTTGTTGCTCAAGCTCTTAAAGTCTCTGAGTACTAGGCGCTCATAGGGACGGACAACAGGCATGGCTCAATTGACTCGGCTGTTGATGATGATCAGGAATATACATATATGAAAACTTGGATATTAGATATTCTGCATTCATTCTACTATTAATTAGTATTTTTAAACAGTTTTCGAATCATAATTTAGTTTTGTTTTTATACCCGATACTCAAAATGAGTATTGGGGTATATTAGATTTGTGGTAAAAGTGGATGTGTGTAACGACCAGAAGGAATTGTTTCCGACCCCATAAAGTATATATATTCTTGATCAGCATCAATAGCCGAGTCGATTGAGCCCTGTCTGTCTGTCCGCCTTTCCGTCCGTCTGTCCATCCCTATCAGCGCCTAGTGCTCAAAGACTATAAAAGCTAGAGCAACGATGTTTTGGATCCACACTTCTGTGATTGTCACTGCTACAAGAATATTTTAAAACTTCGCCCCGCCCACTTCCGCCCCCACATATTGAGGATACAAGAAAACTAAAAACGCAGAATCATAGATAATGACCATATCTATGCGGTTTCTGAATCTGGATCAGATCATATCATTTTTATAGCCAAAAGCAACAAATCTATTTGCAGTGGCTACGCAGCGCCCGACGTCACGCTCAGACTGATTTTCTGTCTTTCTCGCACTCTTTGTCGTGTCGTTTAATATTAGCGGCTTCTGCCGGAGGAGAGCCATACTGACTTAGTATCGGGTATAACTGTAGAGTTGCGGTGTCCGCAGCAACTCACAACGTTCCCCCTCGTTGTAGTTGTATACACATATTTCGCACCTTTTTCTACGCTTCTTTTTCCGGGCAGGTCATTGCCAGTTCGTATTCGTCCTACTTTCGTTTTCGCCAATTTTCTTCTATTTCCATTTTCTCACCCGTCGCCAACATGTTCGCTGTCGTCTGCGTTGCCTACAAGCAATTTGGGGCGTTTTACATTTTTCGATTCTCATTTTGATTTTGTTGTTGGTTGTTGGTTGTACTCGTAGTTGCAGTTGACGCCGGTGTTGCTGCTGGCGTCGCAGCCTCCTGAGCTTTTTTTTGTTGTTCTATATATCCTTTTGTCGATTGTCATCTCTCTGCCACAATCCTTGTCGCTGCCTGCTGAAAGAGCCGCCTCAAGTGTGTCTGTTTGTCTGTCCGTCTCCTTGACTGTGCCACCTTACGCCAATTAATGCCGCCTATTCCCGCTTTTCTAGTTTTCCTTTTATCGCTCTTTATGCCCCATTTGCGGTGCTACTTTTCAGCTTTAGGCATCGCCCCGCACCAAATGCCATAGATGCGTCCATGTCCACGTTCACGCAAATCAAACAGAGAGAGAGCCGCGAGTGAAAGCTTCGCAAAATCGAGTCACACTTTTTTGTTTTCGCTGTGGTTGCTTTAGCTCCTTCTGCTTATCCTTCTCCCTGTGCCTGTTCCTCTAAGAGTATGTTGCAGATTCACACTGCCAACCTGGACGAGTATTTAGCGATATCAGAAAAAACTTATATTTACCATTTGTATGATATAAAAAATTTTAATAATAATAATAATAATAGTAATTTGTTGAATAATCTACATTTCACAATAATAACCAAATATAGTTTTTTCAAAAAAAATCAAAAACAACTCTTATTTAGAATTTGATCAGTAAAAATAAAAGGCAAAAAGAAA